AATGTTGGATATGGGATTTTCAACTTAGGTGATTGGGATTTGTTAATTGGTTTTTTTTTTTTTCCTAATTTCTAATTTTGATTATGTTATCATAGACCATAATGCTTGGTGCATAATTGTTGTATGTGGCTAAAATTATTTAATAAGTGGAGCCTTGTGTAGACATTTAGAATGTTCTACAACACAAACTAAGAAAGAAGACAACAAAGGAAACTTAGATTTTGGCCACTGTCTATGAAGAAGTGTTGGGCAATTTTTTTTCAAAGGTATGTTTCTTTATTACCTATTGTTATCTATTTCATGAAACTTGGCTATTGATTCCAACTTATGAATTTATTAAGTTACTTAATTGGAAAACTATCCTTGTTTTCTAATTTGGCTAGGAGAGTATTACTTTGGAAAACTTCAAAAGTTATCATTGATAGTGTTGAGTCTAAAGACATGATTGAGCAAAACAATGATTGATGAAGAAAGGGAATGTTACTATTTCTTATATTTCATAATTGAAAAGCATATGATTTTTAGAATGAAAGAATAATTTGTATTTGATTTTATTTTTCATTTAAAATAGGAAGTTATATCTTGATGAGTTGAAACTATATAATTATATGTTTTGTCTTCAAATAATGTATCCTACTTATATGCCAAATGGATATAAAAATTAAATTGATTGGAAACCTATTAGAGTTCAACTTAATTTACAATTCATGACTATAAAATTTATAGCATACTAACATAACTCCAGTGCAATTGGTTTTGAATTATTTTCTTTTCCTAAAACAAAGATTGTTCAAACTCATGTTTTTACTTTATTATTTAATCTAGCTTCAAAATAACAATCCATTATAGAGGTTTTGCATTGATTTCTTTTCCTTTATATTAATGATGACAAGGAATGATAGATTAGCATAATCAAATTTGGCGTAGGCAAAACATCTGGAGTTGTTTTGCTTTAAGATTATGAGCTTAATTTGTTAGATATTAAGCTTAAAATGATGAATAATGGAACTTATTTATGTTAACAAGATGATTTGGAACCATGCACAATGTTTTGCTTTCATAGTTATTCATGGTTATTAGAGCTTTAAGAAGAGGAAATGATTGTAAATTCAGATTTGTAAGGAATCAATATGTACTTGCTTCTTCTTCTTTTTAATGAGAATATGTATTAATTTTAAGTAGGCTTAATTCAACAATCTTGCCTTTCTAGTCAAATATAAAATGCTTGAACACTGTTTCAAACATATATAGTATCTTAGAGGGGGAGAGCATAAATCAACTTTTGGAATGGTCTTCAATTGATGACTAAAAAGATGGTGTCTGGCAAAGAGATAGAGCTTTTGAGGTATACAGATTTTCTTTTTGTGATTTTGCAATTTTTTCTCATTTTAGTTTAGGGTATGAGTTGTCTTCTTCCTCTTCACCAACAGTGCCTTAACCAATTGGTTGGATGTTATGAGCTCATTTCATTTTCTTTAATTTTCTTCAATGAATTGTATTTATCTATTTGGCCTCTTCAATTTTCTTCTTCTTCTTCTTCCATCTTCCCCTTTAATACAAAAGGGGATAATTATTTCTCATTTTCTAAATCTTTTTTCATCGTTTTGGTTTGTTTCAAAATTTTGAATTTAAGAATTTTGA